GGTGATAGCCCTATCACCAAAGACTCTGATGGCGACCAACAGATTCCTGTGTGAAATCTGTGGGAAAGGCTTCCAGAGGGATCAAAATCTGCAACTGCATCGACGAGGGCACAACCTTCCATGGAAGCTGAAGCAGAGGACAAGCAAAGAAGTTAAAAAGCGAGTGTATGTGTGCCCTGAAAAAAGCTGCGTCCACAACCACCCTTCGAGGGCTCTGGGAGATTTGACTGGCATCAAAAAGCACTTCTGCAGAAAGCACGGCGAGAAGAAGTGGAAGTGCGAGAAGTGCTCCAAGCGTTACGCTGTTCAGTCTGATTGGAAAGCCCACTCCAAGACCTGCGGTACCAGGGAATACAAATGTGACTGTGGCACCATCTTTTCACGGTAATTAATATATTTACACAAAAAGTATAGTAGTACTAGTAACTCCTCTTGTGGTCTCTAAGGAACAATATTCTGAAAGCAAGCAATTAGGTTCTTTACTTGAAAAATAGAAAAGGACGACTGAGATTTGCAATATATTGCCTGAACTTCTATCCTCACATATCAGTCACGAGTTGACCTCAGCTCAGATGGTTCAGATGATATATCACTTTCAACATATTGCAGTAAATATATAATCAAACTTCGAGTCTTTTAAAAACATGATATGAAATGCAAAGTATCTTTCGACCGGGGTTTAGTTTTTCTGAGTATTTTGAAACAAAATTTTGAATACACTAGACTAGGTAAATCTAAAAGTATTGTGCGTGTAACTTTGTGCCTGCAGTCTCTGTGGCTTTAAGGAGTAAAGCAGAAAACGAGTGTTAGTGCAGACAAAGAACTTTGAGAGAGGAGCTTTTATGTATCATCTTGTTAACGAAACGACAAAAGCTAGCTCCTACTTTGGAGTTATCTGCAAACCTTTCCAAATTTTGCGATTATAGTTGATCCCGTTCTTTTTTTTTTTTAACTTAAGTCTGACTCCTATAGATTTATAGTTCTTAGAAGTCATTTATATAAATCACCTTTATGATTTTCCTTGAGATTGTTGATGTTGGATTTTTGGTACCGGAGCAGGAAGGATAGCTTCATCACTCATAGGGCCTTCTGTGATGCCCTAGCAGAAGAAACAGCCAGAGTGAACGCAGCTTCCAACATCAACGTAATTGGAGCAGCTTCACTAGGACCAAACAACAACATAGCGACTCATTTTCCCTCAATCTTCAAGACAATTTCAAACACCAATACCGAGGAAGCAAATAATAATCAAGCGCCTATTAGAGGGCTATCCCTATGGATGGGTCATAATCAACCTCATCACCAACCCGATCATCATCACACAATAATAATGCCTAATAATGGCAATTTCAGAAACCTTCATGATCAGAATATCCATCATCATCATCATCAACTTGGGAACCACCAGCTTGTTTCACATCCGCAGCAGCTAAATTGGGTATTTGGAAACAAGCTAATTTCAAGTTCTTCCTCTTGCCAAGAGCTAGCAAGCACCTCAATTGGAATGATAAGTGTTCCTTCCTTGTATAGCTCCCAACAACATCAAACATATCCATCATCCTCGGCGAACATGTCGGCGACGGCATTGTTGCAGAAAGCTGCTCAACTAGGGGCAACCTCGACCACTTGTGACCCCACATTTCTGGGGAGCTTAGGGTTGAAATGTAGTGGCGGTACTATCAACAGTACTAGTCAAGGTGGTCAAGAAGATGATCATGGGAGTAACAAATATTATGGGATGTACGGTTCAGGCTCGGGTTCAGGTTCAGTTCTCACCAATCTTGGTGGCGGAGGAAGTGATCAGACAGCAGAGAACAACTCGGCAAGTGATTTGTCACAAATGCACCCATCAAAACGCCCAAGGCGGCAGGTATTACAGAATGAAGAAGGAGGGCAAACTAGGGATTTCCTTGGTGTTGGTGGCGTGCAAACCATTTGCCGCCCTTCATCAATCAACGGATGGGTCTGATTTGATTCGTTAGGTTTAATAATCAAGACTAATATCAGACCCAATATAGTACAATGCGACACTTCAAATTTTTACATTGGAAAACTGTTTTTTGGGGTCATCACATGGTGGTTCCTGATGAAAATTTCTTCAGATATATTGCGTACGATAAGCTAATTATGCATGGAATTAATAAAACTTCGTTCATCAAAGTGGGTAAATTAACTAGAGGATTGATTTTATATATATATATATATATACTTCACTACCTAAAACATCCACTTGAAAGTGTTTTTATTGATCCAATGTATAGTGAGCTAGCTTGTACGTACATTGCATGTACGCTTAAGAAATTACAGTGCATCTTCCAGTTTTTGCCAGCTCACTTTTTTGTTACTTTTTCTCGATGTATGGAAAGGAAAAGAAAGATTGCAAGAAAAGCTATAAGAGTGGACGGTGTGGAGCTGGAGGAGGGGAATTAAGAGATCTGTAAAGACTTTGGAGGGAGGAAAAGTCGCAGATTTATTTTGAACTTCGTGGAAATAAAGTTACATGGAAAAGGAAAAGAGGAAAATAGAAAAAAGTTTTATCTCTGTATATTTGGATCTCACACAGCATGTTCATCTGTGCTTCTCTTTCCCTCAATGAAAGGACCACACCACAGGTGCTCATTAGTTATTTATATCTCTCATTAATTTCATCACAAATTATATTAGAGGATCGGACTTATATCTGGGCGAGTGCTTGTAAGTTTGTAAGGAAGCTAACGAAGTTGGGTTGAGGAAAAGGGAAGGAAAGAGAAGGGGTGAGGAATCACCAGATGCTTGATAAGGAAATTGTATGGAAGTAACTAAAAATTACGAGTTTAAACACTAGTTTAAGTAATCAGAAATCTCAAGTTTAAGTTCTGAGAATGCAGTCATGTTAATAGTAGAGCTTCCATCAAAAAATGTCATGTCTTAACTTAATCTAGATTGATCTAGACTCTTGTTAAGTTCTCTCAACTTGATGTAGGCCTAGCTCAAGATATGAGATGCTTATAAAAAAAGAAGAAAGAAAGACAGGGGTAAGGAATGCATATTCTTTTGAATCTTGAAAGCTGACTCCTTTTTGTAAAAATGGGAGCTTTTGTGAAAGGGAATGAATTTGTGGGCTAGTGGGAGCGAAGGAAAACAAAGAAAGCACCGCTTTTGGACTCTATTATTGCTCAGTTTTTGCGCATCTCTGTGTTGTGCTTCTTGTCCTGTCAATCTGATCACGTTCATGGGGAATTTTTCCCTTACTTTTCCTTTTCCAATCACAAAAAGCATGATTCCAGTTAGGGCTTTTAGGTTACTTGTTTATTAGATTATAATAATGAGTAAGCTTGTTCATGCTTGTGCTCTCCAACATTGCGTATACCTATAGTATTTCAAGATTGGCTATCTTTCTGAGACATGCCAAAATTGGATATCCTCTGAGAAAATTCAGCATTCTTATTTAATGATCATTTCCTCCTCTTCTCTTCATTTAATGGCTACGCCACCGTCATTCTATTTCTTTGGATTGATCCTCATCTGGATGGACAGAGAAAAGAACGGTGAAATTAATTAGAGACCTTCTATTTTCCGAAATAGATAGTATTACCATTGTAAAATTTGATTATTTTTCTTACTCATCCAAACATAAAAGGGGAAAAAGAACATTATTCTTTTCCATCCATTTCTTCTCTCCTTCCATTTCATTTCCTCTCCCTTGTTCTCCACTTCTCCTCATCCAAAGAAAGCACGTGGAAAGTTTATAATATTATGCCTACCACTATGCTGTTTAAAAACTTACAATTAATAAAATATTTTAAAGAACCCAAAAAAAAAAAAATCTTATCGTGTCAAGACTATTCAATCAACCCACCAGTTAATTATCCAACGCTGAGGTGTTTTCTGATGTAGTGTCATAGATATGAGTGTGCATTTAATTGGTTGTGTGACCTTTGGCCAAGAAAAAAATGGTTATGTGACCAGGCTAATTATTAACAGCAAGAGATTTCAAGATATACTCCCTCTATTAAAATATATAAGGTATTTTTAATCTGTTGAGACGTAATCATTATTTTTTTTAAAAGTATCCTATTGATAATGATTTTATATTTATGGTAAAGTATTTAATAGTAGTAAATATTAAAAGATATGGTTAATTTAAAAGTAGGTAATTACTTTGTTAGAGGATAAAATTTAATTAAAAATGCCTTACATTTTTAAACAAAAGAAGTACATAATTAATTGATTGGTGGGGGTGTGTGTGTGTGTGAGCTGCCCGGTAAATTTTAACATTCAAATAATTTACTTAGAAGTTAGTTGATTACAGATTGAGAATTCGTTTGTTGATCAATGATTTATCTCACTTTATCAATTTGTGTTTGTATTATAAATTTATAATATGTGCATGCTTTTATAACGCAGACACACCAGCACACAGTAATTAACAAGAAACTGGGCTGAGAGATGTGAAAGTGAAATCTTTTGTGTATATATATGGATCCAAAAACATTGAAAGATGACATAAACAAAAGAGGAGTGACTGCAATAATAAAAGAAGGCACACATATTCCCAGTCGTACTATATATCTTTGATTTTGTTTTCCCTTTTGGTTACATGATAGGGTGCTCTGTGGGAGTGGGACATCTCTCTCTGTTTTTTTTTTTTTTTGGTTCACCTGGGTATTTAACATGCATGACCGCTGCATGTGCAAGATTCATTATTTCTTTAAATTATATTTTAAATATTATACTTTTATTATTACATAAATAAATTTTTCAAACCCATAAAAAATCATCCATTTCAAATTGATGTTATAAACACCCTTGATAAAAAAAATTGATGTTCCAAACACATGAATTTTTTCTTAAATTAATTTCCTATAAGTTATAAAAAACTAATTAACCCATTATTTTGACCTACATTTAGACATTTTTTCCCTTTGGTATCGTTCGGGCCAAAAATGGGCTCTGTATTTGGGCCTCAAATGGGCCTTACCCATCAAGAATTATCAAGGGCAAGGAACATAATGACGCCGAATCCAGTGGCACGGAACAGGGGAAAGAGGCAGAGTGAGCAGTATGAAGTTCACCGACTCGCCGGTGATCGAGCTCCCGGTCCGTGGCTCCGTCCTCTCTCTCCAGCAAGATAATGGTTCCATCCACGTCGGAACCTCCGTTTGGCCTTGTTCTCTCGTCCTTGTCAAATTCGTCGATCGCTGGGGCCCACCCCTTCCCCCAGACCCCAATACTCCCAACCCTTACTCCGACCTTCTTGATTTCCGATCCAAACGCGCCGTTGAAATTGGCACCGGATGCGGTGTTGCCAGCATGGGCCTCTACCTCTTGGGCCTGTCCGACATCGTCCTCACTGACATAGCCCCTGTGATGCCCGCGCTCAAACGCAACCTTAAAATCAACAGGCCTGTCCTCGGCAAGAACCTAAAGTACTCGACTCTTTATTGGAACAATCTCGATCAAATCAGGGCTCTTAATCCACCCTTCGACTTCGTCATCGCTACTGACGTCGTTTACATTGAAGAATCCGTTGGTCACCTGGTCTCCGCCATGGAGGCGCTCCTCACGGACGACGGCGTCGTTTTGCTCGGTTACCAGTTAAGGTCCCCCGAGGCACACAAGCTTTTCTGGGAACTGTGTGAGGAAGTGTTTGCGATCGACAAAGTTCCTCACGATCACCTTCATCCTGAGTATGCGTATGAGGAAACCGACGTTTACGTGCTGAGGAAGAAGAAAAAACAATTATAGCCACTGTGGAGACCATTACTAGGAAGAATTAGTGGTAAACTTCCACTATTTTTGGATATTAATGTTTCTTGTTAATACATATCACTGAACTACGATCGTAAATTCTCTTGGCAATGTTCTGTGATTCACTGATATAATATTTAGCTTCGAGTGCATAATTTCCTTGCACTTAAACAATGATATTTGATGGTCGTTGATATGTCGGTTTGTTGTCATACTTAATGCTTCGTATCGATCAATCAGATTAATTTATATCCATTCGTTAAACAATGATATTTTATGGTCGTTGAGATGTCGATTTGTTGTTATGCTTAGTGCTTCTTATCGATCAATCAGATTAATTTATATCCATCCGTTAAACTTTCTCTCAACATGTGGGTTTGGATTGATTGTTTCTTATATCTAATAGTGTACATTTTAACATTTTAATTCTTGAATTGAATTGTATCTGGTGTTAAAATTAGATGAAGTAATTGATGAGAACAAGGTTGAAAATTCATGCATGGAGGCTGACTCTGGTATTGATGGCTTGTTGATCAAATAAAACATGGAAACATGCCTCTAAAGCCAAACCAAGCTTGCTCTGATAATTTCACATCCCAGGATTAAGTTGAACTTGAAAGGCATTGTTTTAACCTTTTAAACTATATTGCTAATTATTGTGTTATATGTGATTTTAATCAATTCCGAAGTGAGTGTTTTCACTTATAAAATGTTAGAGAGGTCCATGGGAGGAGAAACTGTGAACTCTGGCTCAGGTGCTTAACAAACTGTTCCATGCTTTGCTACCATCCCAAAAGATTATGGTATTTCTCAATAAAGTCAGACGTAGAAGATTTGCTTCTTTATCAGTTTTATATGTGGGTATAAACTAATTAAAAGTGAATTGATGAATCTGGACTTTGACATGATTATCAGATGAAAATAGCATTAAAAAATTTTGGATTATGTTTGAATTTATTGATCGATGTTGTGATATTGTCAACCCTCAATTGTAGTTGGAAATTGTCAAAACATGCCATTACGTATTGTTGATAAGCTGGTATTCAGGGAAGGTGGAACTACATGATCCCAGGCTTCTGTTCAATTATGGAACTTTGTGGGACTTGCTAAAAATTTCTTTATTTTGTCTACTATGAAAGAGATGCCGGGATTTTCTAATGCTGGATTGCTGCACATCAATGGTAAAAGGCCATTTTTCTATTCAAGGATGTTGATTGCAAGAAGAAAAGGCATTGAAATTTTGTGTGTCTGGGAACCCTCGACTTCAGGAGTGTGGTTATACAGTCCAATTCACGAGTCACGCGTGGAAGCTGTTCTTACAGAGAATTAATCGATAACATCTGAGAAAATGTCTTATTTATATTATTTACAGAATTAATATGCCTAATCAAGTTGATGTGAATGTGTTTTTAGGTTTTAGGAATCAATGGTGAAGGAATAATTTTCTTCACTACTCTTGAACCAGATGTTCTCTGTGGTGGGTCAAATGAACCAGATCTGCTCTTGAACCCTGATTGATTTAGGTGTTGTGGCAGATGAGACAAAAGAAACCAAATCACGAGTCAGATCTGGTTTAAACTTTAGATGATTTCATTATTTGGCATCGTAGATTCCATGCAAATATAAAATGAATGCGATTCTGTGTTTGAACAGCTTGGAGTTCATAGTTTCAGGGTTTGAGAGAAGAACGAATGCAATAGAGGGTCGAAAGAAGAAAGTGAGTGGGAGGCAAGAGATGATGATGATGATGTCTCAAATTATGGTACTTGGATTATAATAAACTATTTGAGGTTGATATATAGTCAGATTATTTTGACTTGCCGTTACTGCATGTCTTCTTAATGTAATATACATATTTACTGCAATTACACTATCATAATCATAGTTATCCACTCAACAACATAATTAATCTTTAAAAGTTATACAAAAATAATAATATTTTGGAAACTTGGACCTAAAGCTTCAAGTGAAAATGGCATATTATCTGTGGCTGATGACCACTTGAGGTGCCAGCCATATTTGTTTAGTTTAATGGTTTAGCAATCGCCCAAGGCAAGGACGCGATGACGATAATACTTCTTCTGACACTGTACAAGCCATCGTGTGTGGGTGTGTAACAATGAATTAATAATAACTTAAAGATTGTTGCACACTTGCACTTTCTTCATTAACATTAAGGATCATGATACACATAGTCAAGTAATAATTTGATATAATTACAGGGATTGAATCCTGATATGCTTTCAATTAGAAAACATGAACTGATTTCAACGCCAGATTATACTTCTAGAATAGATTAAAGTATAACCCTAGCTAAATTATTTCTTCAGTGAGAGATTATATATATATATATATAAAATAATTTGTCATAATTGTAATCGGGATACCTCTTCAGCTGTGTCATATCTTCTCCTCGCATGTTCAAGCAGTGAAAGTAGATTCATCATCATGAGCTGGAAAATGAGAAGATCTTTGTTGGCCGGCTTGATCAAATGATATGAAGGCAGAGTTATAGTAATCAAGGAAGCCATTATTGTTCTCGTGATTATGAACGCAGACTCCGTGAAGATGAAGATGATGATGCAGAGGTTGTAGTTTCAGAAGCAAACAGTGTCGAGGTTGAGTCTGATAGAAAACCTTGGAGACGACGAACTCCCCGTCCTTTTCCTCTTGGTTGGATCCGAGGTGGTACTGGTGCATCACCCAGTTGGTCTTCTTTGGCATAGTTGGCGTAAAGTACGAGGATCTTCTTGAAGCCTTTCAACTTGCCATTCATGAAGACTGGTCTAGTCTTTGCCTGTTTTGTGCCACCTTGTCTCTCTTCCTTCTGCTTCTGATGAGTTCACCTTTCTCCTTTTTCTTGTCCCCATCGTGTATGCTTTTGATGGCCTGTGAAAGAAATGTCGGATCAGGCCATCTTTTCTAATTCCTGCATGCACCATATAGTGCATATGTCACATCCCATGTCAATTTACTCTACTGTAAAGAATATCAGCTGTAAATCTTGACAGGAATATAAATTGTAGTTTTTATAATTTGGCTGAAAATCAATCTGTTCCTCCCCGTGAAATATTGAAGTGTACATGTCATTCAATATTCTTGCGATTTGTTTAGTAACTATCAAAGTAACATGCATGTTGTACTTAATTTAAAAATTGGAAGCTAACAAGAATATAGCCTGTTTCTTTTTCTTCTATTCGTGTAAACGAGTTTGATCGAAAGAAACCAATTTGTAATAAAAGTCTATTAAGGAAGCTGGTCTGGAAATCGATCATGATATATAGAAGAAGAAGATCATCGAAGAGACCTGGAAGCTTATGGGGATGAGTAGAGCAGATTCCATTTTGGGCCTCAAGAGTAGGAATGAAGTCATTGATGAAAGGATGAAGCTTGTGAATATCAGACCTCACCTTGGCTTCTGGATGTTGTAAGAGCTCTTGATCACTCGGATCAAACTTCACTCCCGCTGGCAGCCCTCGTAGCTCATTTATTCCTGATCCCTATGTTCCATCTCTTCTCTTCATTCATTAACTGATCAGTAAAACTAAGAACAGAGGAATTGTGTGTGTGTGTGTGTGTGTGTGTGTGTGTGACATGAGCCTGGTCGTTGATATGATGGCCACACGAAGGACAAGTCGGTCTGTCAACAATACTGATATTGCTTTGCTGAGTCATATTTCGAAAGATTCAATTCCATTTTAATTGGAATATATATATATATATATGTCCTCTCTTCTTGTTTCCCTCTTCTGCTAACTTGTAAACCATACAACAGAATCTAAAGAAGAATAGAGTGAGGGGGTGTAATTATATCTATCTCAGAATAAAACTAGAAGTAAAGATTAAATTCTCTCTCATTTTTTTGGTAGGACTTTTCTTTTTGACTAAAGACTGAAGAGAATGTTTCAGTCCTTCCCTAACCTCTCTCCTTTCTATTGCTAGAAAACGTTGTTGTAGTTATTGTGTGTGTCAAAAGAAGTCTCACATTGCCCAAATGAAGAGAGCTCTTAATGTATAAATATTAAGGAATGAAATGAGTTAATAAAATGGACTTAGAGAAAAAGTGAGTTCACATGCATGATACAAGCCAACTTAAGACAGTTGTAGTTGAAAATAATTGATTTGCCTCCCATGCAAGTTAAATAGACATTGGGTTCTTTTTATTGAATTATTTTTACAAAAAATAAATAATTATTTATTTAAACTAGCTTACCAAAAAATCTTGTTTTTTGATTGATTAAAGTTTGAATTCAAGCCTTAAACATTTTCTGTCCGTTAAGCAAATTCTTAAACGGATTTTGTTATTTTCATCACGCATTTGTCCCTTAATAGCTCCAGACAATTATTTAATAGTGATTTATGTGTGTGTAACCGAGGGTTAATGGTGGTTTATTTCGGTGATTAAATTCCAACATTCATGTCCAAGATCTAGGCCTATATATGGGCATGCATGTGGACTGAATTTTTTTTGCTTGGCTCTTGAGTTTTCAAGCTTATTCTTTCCTCCTCTCCGCCTTCTATTCTATGCTAATTTCTCTAAGTTATCTTGCTAGTGTTTGCTGTTCTGTTGCCTTGCTTGTTCACAAGACAAGCTTATTTAATTTTGGGAAGTTGCCGATCTACTATATAAATGTGTCAGAATAATTTTTAAAGATAGTATCCTTTAAGATGATTCAAGCTTCATTTTCCTACCCGCCGCCAATAGATGTGTGGGCGTGTGAGAGAGAGAGAGAGAGTGAGAGAGGTCGGGCCTCGAAGCTCTAATCAGAGAATGAATGTTAATGTATACAGAGAGCTAACTAGCAATATGGAACTATAAAAATAAATGAAAAGGATCGCTTTGATGTCACGTATTGTTTGTCAACCTTGCATGGAAGCTTGTAGAATAGGTTATATTTTTGTCCTACTTGCCCTTACTAACGCTCGATGGATGATGAGCTTTCGGCTTGCTATTTGTTTTTAATCTTCACATGCATCTTAAAATTCAGCCATTAATTGTTTGCTTATAATTAATATAATGTCGTGTTTAACACCATAATATTCATATTTCACAATACAATGACAAGATGCCAAACATGTCTGTTCTATTTTGAAAACAGAAATGGTTTTGAAGTTTGAAAGAAACAGTCAGAGGGATATATTAGTTGAGTGGGATTGGGGCAATCTAACTTGCATGAACAAACACCATGAATGGTTAGAATTCAGGTCTCATGTCGTGTTGGAGTGCAGATAAAGCTAAACTGTAATAACCAGAACGAAGTCGAAGAAGAAGATGATGTAATAACCATAAAATCCATTCCTTCAAGTAAACTTGTCATGCATTGCAAGAAAGCTCTGTACTTCTCTCTGGATTTTCATACTTACTTTGACTGTATAAAACCGCCATGCCAATGTATATATATATATATATATATATAGATTAATGGTGACACAAAAACTTATTTGCTGCCATGTGGCAGAGGCAAAGGTGTCAATTATTGGTGGAGGACAGAGACAAAAAGACATGCTTTATTAAACCCTTGCATTGGAATAGAATGTGATCATGATGATAATTTTGATTCGTTGCTGCTAAAAACTGTTCCTCGTACTGGTATGGTTGTTTTGTTACGTAACTTCTAATTTGACAAGTGTTATCAAACTGACATGGAAACATAGAGATTTTGACAAGAGCAAGAGGCACAATTTAACGAAGAGAAATCCAATAATGGTTTCTTAACTTCTAAAAGCATTTTTCTGTTCATAAAAATTAATTAAGATATGCAACAGCATAAATAAAAATTTGATCTATCCATTTGCCCTCAATACCAGTGAACCATGATGTGGTATTGGCACACATTTTTAATTTTTAAAGTGACTATAAGAAGTAAAGTCTGTTGTCAAATAAAAATTATTTTTCTGTGAGATATTAAGGATAAATGGTATGCCTCTTCTAATTAACTTGTTATGTAAAATTTTGAATTTTTTTTAAAATATTATATAGATATTTTATCCTCTGAGAATTTATGCAAAATGTTTACCATAATTCTACCTCTCCTCAGAATTAAATCATGACTACGTCCCTACTTAATATTCCAGAAAAGATTGGCCTTTGCCGGGTATCCTTCTTATCCATATCAATAATAATAATCATCGGACATCCGTACGGTATTGGACTCTTTGATTTTCAAGGTGTTAAATTTAAAAAAAAATAACTAAAAAGGTCATTCTTTTGAGTGGTTATTAAAGATAAAATGTAATGTTAGCAAGTCATTTTTAAGGAGTTATGAAAATGGTAAAATTATTATAATAGTACGTATAACAGAAAAATGTATTTTTATTTTGTTTAGATACATTTCAATTACACTTTCCGAGTTTAAAAATGGTTGCACTTAAAAGTAACACTGTTTTTTTTATTTCGATATTATTTATTTCAAATAACAGACGGATTAGAAAATTGATAAAATTTGATCACATGTCGCAACATTTTAGGCCCTTGTGAGGCCCTTTTATCTATTTTTGGTGCAAGACGCAGCACTGTTTATTTTCCTTTGTCATAGTTTGAACATTGGGCCTTTTGTAAAACCCGAAATCCAATCTCAAAATCTTCGGACAAAAAATACCAATTTCTTTCCAGTGTTGAATGCAGATCCGTATGGTATACACTCCCCTTGTTTTAAAAATATAAAATATTTTTTAAAGAGTTTGATGTTAAAATATATAAAGTATTTTTATTCTTTTAAAATATAATCACTATCTTTTTTTTTAAAGTACCCTTTATTGATAATAACTTTATATTTATTATAGGGTGTTTAATAGAGGTAAATATAAAAAGATAAGATTAATTTAAAAATAGATAACTATTTTATTAGCGGATAAAATTCGATTAAAAATATCTAATATTTTTTAACGAAGAAAGTATATATAATTTTTTTTGGGCCAAAGAGATCCGTATAGTATAATACCTAAATTATGTTGCCCAATAAATTATTAAAACATGTCTCTCTCTTTTTTTCCCTGGGTAATCACTCAAACTAGAACTCTTTGATATTTGAAATGTATTAGAAACCAATTCATTTAATATACTCCATCCATTTTATGTTGTGAGACACTTTCAATCATATTGAAAAAACAAAAAAAAATGATAGTTATTCATTAAATATGTTTTAAAATAAAAAATTTTAATTTTATATAT